GCTGAGCAGCCGCAGAAAGTGCCCATCGAGACCAAGAGTCGCGGCGACAAGGGATTTTGGGAAGGATGGTAAGGGGGGCAAAATTTTTATTTGTAATTAACTAAAACTTTAATTAGCGGTAAATATTAATCTTAAGCTCGATCTTCTATAACCTTTGTGTTGCAGTTGTGCTGCTTTGTGCTGCTGCTGCGTCCTGGAAACTTGCTTCTGAAGAGGACTGACGGTAGAGAGAGAGATCTGTGTTTGTGCTAGAGATCGAGCTGTCGGGTCATTTATTTCCTATTGTGTAATTAGGATTAATTAAGAAGGCTTTTAACTGTCTCATTGTTTGATTATATTTCGAATTAGCTTTATTCGTGTGTAAAGTACTGAATCCTTTGTGTTCCCTTGTGCTAATTGTTGGATTGCTTCTTTATATAACTTTGGATCTTGATTGTAATCCTTTTCTAATATATATATATATAATTAACACCACGTCTTAAATTGTCATACTAATTTTCATTCTCGCTCGCCTAAAGTGGTTGTGGAAATGGTTGGATAATGCAACTGTTGTGTAAAAACTTTGTATATATCGAGGAAATATTACAATGATGTTGGCATTTTTCATCTCCATAATTCAACAAAGGTATCTAGTTTTTTGGAGGATTATCGTTAAACATGCTGATATTATCCTTTTGAAAACAAGGGTAGTGCTTAGTGATGGTGAGAAAACTTTATTTTGGCAAGCTACTGGAGAGTTGGTTTTCCAATATCTTGAGCTCATTCAGAGAGTTTGAGCTTGTACTGCTTCCTTAGGCAAGGATCTTAGAGTGTGGACTTGAAGAATCAAGAGGAGTTTCGTCTGCAAGATCCTTGGATCTTTCTTTAGCTGATGGTTAATTTGTGGGCGATTGAAGTCCCTTTGAAGGTTAGAATTATGATATGGCTGGCCTTAACTGGGAAACTTAATTAACACCAACCAAAGATAAGATTACTTATGAAGAATATCCGAGTCGATCCTAATTGTATTCTGTGTGGGATGGAGAGCGGAACGCATCGCGTGCTACAGATTTCATGTTCAAGGGATCCCTGACAATCTTATGGATTTTTGGCTTCATTGGAAGCAACTTATAAGTTGAAGGGACAAAACCAAAAAAGAATGGGATGTTAACAATGTTAGTGCTTTACTTTGGTGTAGTTGGGAGGAGAGAGAGTTGCTTGGAAGAAACGAGAATTTTCTTACGCAAGCACACACATTCTCTTGATGAGCTTTGCTATAGGGACCCAAAATATTGGACCAATAGGGGGGACAAGTGAGGTGTCATCTTCCTATTAGATAATAAGTTGGTCATCATTAATGATGGTCAACTCATTATCCAATAGGAGGGGGACACCTCACTTGTCCCCTCTATTGGTCCCATATTTTGGGTCCTTGAAGAATTTTTCTCTTGATACTTGGAAGAAAGTTGCTTAGGGCCTTAGGGGTTGTTTGGTGGTTGTTGGTAAAGTTGTGTATTTATGACACAATTTGGAATGTTGTTGTCCACCGCATCAATTTTACTGAGCAACTTTTCTTTGTTTGTTTTTTATTCCATTGGAATCATAACCCGTTTGAATCGGGTATTTTGAAGGGGAATGGAGGGGGAAGCTGTCAATTTGTCAGTTTTTTGATAGATTTCCCCCAAAATCGCCTCTATACCCCAAAATCACCTCTTATAGAGGCGATTTTGGGGGAAAGCTGCCAAAAAGCTGACAAATTGTCAGCTTTCCACCTTTCTCCTTCAAAATACCCGATCCAGGAAACCCTGCCAAAAAGCTGACAAATTGTCAGCTTTCCACCTTTCTCCTTCAAAATACCCGATCCAAACAGCCCCTAAATTGCTTGTTTAGTTTGCAAAATGTAATTTTAATTGCTTGTTTGGAAAGTATAAAAAATGGTTATTGTGTGGTCCCTACTCAAATAATTCCATTGGCCTAGCCACCTCACTTCTGACACATATGTCAGCTTTCCTTCAAAATCAGATGATTTTGAAGGGATTTATGAATCCATGCCACATCAGCATAGTAAATTACTTTACACTATTTTCACAAGTACAAACAAACAATTGAAAAGGAGGAAAGCTGACATTGAGACCCACTTTTTTACATTTTTCATCCTTTTATATAGTAAAAACTTACAACCAAACAGCCCCTTACTTTGCCTCAGTGAACACATAGTTCATTTAAAAACTAATTCACACTTCTTTCCAACTAAGCCCTTTCATTTCTCTATACCCTCTTCGGCACTCCAAAGTGGAGAATGTGCTGTTGTTAAGAATTTGACGTGCAGCTCAGCCACGTGTCCTATGTTATTCTCCATGTTTTATGGTTTGCCGTTGTGAGACATTCCATCTCATGCTACAAAATAATCAGCTGACTAGTTGTGATTGAATATCATTTTCAGCTGGTTTTGGTCTGGACTGACATAGAGCCAAAATCAAGGGGGCGCGGAGGCAACTCAAAGAGGGCGGTGCGCCGGTGTCCCTTGCCGGTACCCTCTAGCAACACAATTCCTAAGTATATGGATCCAATGGTGAACCCAGTAAAAACTTAAGCAATGGGCAGTGACTAGGGGTGCCAAACAGTATCCGTATCCGAGGAAATATCCGTAACCGTATCCGTTAGGATACGAATATGGTTACTCAAATCTATAATCGATAGGATATGGTTACGGATATGGTTACGGATATGGTTTTGTGGTGAAATATCTGTATCTGTATCCGAAAATATCCGAATACATATTGGTCATACTCTTACGATAGTTTCGAGTCTTAGATTATGAATTTGTGATTAGTTTTGATGATCAAGATGTCTAATCTTAGCTTTTCAATCATAATGAACATATTAACGAATTCTTTTTGTATCACATGACTAGGTTTTTCTGAAAAGTATCTAGTTTTTTAATATCCTTTTTGTATTCGCATGCATATCCGTTTATATATCCGTAACCATATCCGATTTTGGCGGATATGGATATGAATTTTTCTTACTGACGTATATCTGTATCCATATCCGTATCTGAGATAGGTAAGCGGATATGGATATGATAAGTGTCATATCCGAGTCGTATCCGCTCCGTTAACACCCCTAGCAGTGACCAATTTGTGATTTATTCTTGACGGGCCAAATCTAAAATGTCCCAAACTCAAAATCCCATTAAATTTTAGCAACTTTAGCATCGTTTAGAAAAGAAAAAAAAATGGACAAATAAATGGGTGTGGGTGCCACTTGAGCTTGGTGAGAAGAACCGTCCACTAAAATCGAATGGAAGCCAAGGGATAAATGACAATTAAGTAACTTATATTAAAAATAATGCATTTTGTGGTATTTCCGAATCCCAATGGGATTTGGATCCTCTCCACTACAAAAAAGTAGTGGAGAAACCACTACTTTTAATCTCAAACGCTGATTATTTAGTAGGCGGTTATGATACAATCTAAATCTAACACTTATCATACCCCTGTGTATTGCACTCATTCCTAATTTGCACTAAAAAAAATCATAACCATTAACTAGATAATCAATGGCTGTGATTATGTAGTGGTCCCTCCACTATTTTTTTTGTAGCGGAGAGGATCCGAATCCTTTCCAATGAGACTACAATACAACGATTTGAAAATACAAAGACATGTGGCGGTCAGTTGTAATTTTACTTAGTTAAATATATCTTTTGTATCTCATAAAAATTCTTAGTAAAATATACCTTTTGTATCTCATAAAAATTCTTGACATTTTGAACGTGAGAGAAAAATTATCGTGGCACTACTATTATGAATCCCTAACTTCGCCATTGGCCAAAGCAGTCATGTAAACGTTCATCAGAGGTTGATCGAGTCCTTTATTTAGCTAGGTCAAAGCCCAAGATAAGATAATTAAGTTTATTTTTAAAAATATAGATCTTATGTTTTAATTAATTCATGTCGTTCCAAGGAATCGAATCAGCTCCAGATTGTTTTGACCTTGGGTCATATGTTTGAATGTTTTTGCTGTGAACATTGGATGCTACACGATGCAAGAGTTTTAAATTTGGATTGATATACGATTATAGGGTTTGATTAAACTGGATCCTCGTGCTCTCTGAGTCAAACCGTGGAATATTAATCATTCGGCGTACAGTTATATGGTCCCATAAAATATATGCACACAAGAAATTGTAAACATTTTATAAAATGAAAGAGAAATTGACATGAACATTGCAAAATACTAGTTTGTATAAGGATGTACTCACAAATCAATAAAAGATGGAGAAATAAAATTTTCGATGGATATATTTAAAAATGACAGAAAACCATCAATGATATTATAGTTATATTAAGCTAACACTAATCCCATAAGAGTTAAATTTTAGTACCAAAAAAAAAGAAATATAAAAATAGTTGATTATGGATGTCCTCATACAAGAAGAATCAACTTGAATCTTATTTGAAAATACTTATTACTAGTGTGCGCCCGTGCGAAGCACGATCTTTCCTATTTTTTATCACTACAGTAATCCTGGTTTTTTATTGCTACAGTTTTTTAAAATGCTACAGTGATTTTCCTTTAAAATGTTGCAGTAATATTTCTTTAAAAAATGCTACAGCTTCCACCTCTACTGCAATGGAATTTAAAAAAAAAATGATACATTAATTTTTAAATAATGTTACAATCTCATGCCTATGCTACAGTAATATTCCTTTGAAAAATGCTGCTGTAAATTAATGTAGTATTTACTGCAGCATGAATAGTGATTCTTGGATCCTCCCATTATTGTAGAGGAATAAATGTAAATTAGGAAACTGCTAATTGCTTATCTCAAGTTGTGAGTAGTATAGTTTGAGTATAATTCATGTGTGCGGTGAAACAAAGTAAAATACACGTTGAGAATAATTGTTTTATTGAATCTGCGTAGTATATAAATGATATTCGACTTGTTCGGACATTAGCATCAAAAGTTAAGACCATGACAAGTCAAAGGAAGAGCAGGGTTTGGGTCAGGCCAGAGCAATGCACAAACTGTGCCTTGTTACTTTAAACTACAAAACAACCAAGCTGTTCCTAAAAACTCTTTTTCTCTCTCTTAATTTTCCCATTTAAGTACTAAACAATATCCCCCATCTTCAATGATTTTTTTTTTCTTTTACTATATTTCCTTTTCCCTTCTAGAGAATCTATGCCCTGTTATTCCAGAAGGCTATTTTGCGGATTAATCCCATCATTTTAGCTTAATAATCAAGGAAAAACCAACTGCCTGCAGAGTTGCACGAAAATGAAAAAGAAGAGAGAAGGGGAAATATCTGTTGATCTACCAGAGTTAAAATTATATTAAATTGTTCATATCTATATTTCATATGGATACTTTTATTCTTTTGTTCTTCTTCTAGAAGTTCTTTGTTTTCTCAACATTAAGAAACTATTCAGTCTTTGGAGCTGCTCCTCTCGTTTTCTCAAGAGAGATGTTTTATTTGAAAACGGAGATTGAAAGATTTTGAAGGGGCTTCACTGAGTTATATATGGATGCTCTATATGTTATCTTCCAGATATGATTTATTTCGGACATTTATATACGAATACAAAATAATTGAAGACACGTGAAAAATTAAAGATGGGATTGCCTTCAAAGAGTTTGGTTCAAAAGTAACAAATTAATGCATGACGTGCTCATCCATCTGAACTAGAGATGTCAAATGGATGGTTTTGGTTGGGTCTTGGTTGGGTCATGAATGGGTAAGCATATTTATGACCACTTGACCATTTATGAATTTAGCATTTACTAAATGGGTCACTTCTCAACCACTTATTTACTAAATGGGTGGTTTATGGGTGACCCAATAACTCATTTAGTTATGATTATGATGCTTTTATATATATGTAAGTTTTAAGGATCTACTTGCAAACTTTTAAGGGTTTTTGGCAAACTTTCAAGGGAATTTTCTGCAAACTTTCAGGGGGTTTTTTGCAAACTTTCAAGGGGTTTTTTGCAAACTTTTAGGGGATTTTTTACAAACTTTTAGGGGGTTTTTGTAAACTTTTAGGGGGTTTTTTGCAAACTTTTAGGGGGGTTTTTTGCAAACTTTTAGTGAGTTTTCTGCAAACTTTCAGGGGATTTTCTACAAACTTTCAGGGGGGTTTTGTAAACTTTTAGGGGGTTTTTTGCAAACTTTCAGGGGTTTTCTGTGAACTTTCAGAGGGTTTTCTGCAAACTTTTAGGGGGTTTTTTGTAAACTTTTAGGGGGTTTTCTGTAAACTTTCAGGGGATTTTCTGCAAACTTTCAGGGGTCTTTCTGTAAACTTTCAGAGGTTTTTCTGCAAACTTTCAGGGAGTTTTCTATAAACTTTTAGGGATTTTCTGTAAACTTTCAGGGGGTTTTCTGTAAACTTTTAGGTGGTTTTCTGTAAACTTTCAGGGGGGTTTCTGTAAACTTTCAGGGAGGTTTTTGTAAACTTTTAGGGGGTTTCTACAAACTTTCAGGGGGTTTTCTATAAAAACTTCTTTCTCAATTGAATCGACTACTTGGGAAAATTAGGACAGAATTGTGAGCAAAAGAAGCAAATGATGACGGGGCTGAGCAAAAGAAGAGATAGACTCGTAACAAGTCTAGTCTACTGCCTGCTCGGTTATTTAAAAAAAGCCCTTACTTTGGTTATGTGTCAACATTTTCAGAATACCGGAGTACCCTCAACATTTAATTCAGTTCTTCTTCATCTTAGGGTCAAATTAGGACAGAGCAAAGAAATGACAAAATATCTTTAGAAAACCCCACCTTGCACGGTTTACAAAACCACACTACCAAACAGCTCTATTTGATAAAAACATCCTAACTAAATTTGGCTCTAAAAATCCACGCACCACACATTCCATAAAAAAAATCCTAACTAAATCTTTTTGCCGTCTAAATTTGTCAACAAAATGTGGTAAAAATATCACGTCCCAATCCGAGGATCTTAAAAATCCTGCACCTCCTTAGCCTTGCGTGAACTGCTTTGAGAGAGATGGTGTTTTTCTTTCCTTTGTTCAAAATCCATGAGCTATGAGCGTAATTGTTCATTTCTTCATATTTGTTGTTGGTTAAAGTCTATTATTTTTTTCCATGTTTGTTCTTAATTACAGAGTGCCCCTAAGTAATTCTCCTTGAATTTTTTTTTATCACGCCGAATAACAATACACCTATCTTTCTCTCCTGTTTCTCGCGCAATAGACGCAAGTTTTACAAATTACACTTGGCCGCACACGCATATATCTCCTGCCGACGAAGAATTATGAGCGCCTATTTTTTATATTTATATATCCTTGAGGGTGTTTTTTACAATTTTTAAAAGTTTGAGGGTGTTACTTATAAATTTGATATTTATAGGGGACTACCGAATTTTTTTAGATTTCATGTGTCATTTGCAAGTTTAGAAAATTCTAAGATTGTTTTGTAGTTTTGAACTCTTGAGGGTGTTTTTTATAAATTTTAAACTTTAATGGTGCTTTTTGTAAATTATAAATTTACAGGGGGCTGCTAGTAATTTTTAGATTTCATGTGTCATTGGTAGGTTTTGAAATTTCAGGATGGTTTTGTAATTCTAAACTATGGAGGGTGTTTTTCTAAAAATTTAAGACTTTGAGGGTGTTAATTGCAAATTTTAAATTTATAGGGGACTATTAAAATTTTTTAGATTTCATATGTCATTTGCAAGTTTAGAAAACTCTAAGATTGTTTGGTAATTTTGAAGTCTTGAGGGTGTTTTTCTCATTTTCTACAACTTTTAAGAGTATTTTTTGCAAATTATAAAATTTCAGGGGGGCTGTTGGTAATTTTTGAATTTTATGTGTCATCTGTGAGGTTAGAAAATTTTGATAGTTTTTTATAATTTTTAACTCTTGAGGGCGTTTTTATAATATTTTAAACTTTGAGGGTGGTTTTTACAAATCTCAAAAATTTAAGAGGTTGTTAGTCATTTTAAATATTTTCTATAATTTTTAATTTTTAAAAATAAGTTTTGTAATTGTTGAAGCGTTGATGGTGTTTTTAAAACAATATCCATCTAAACGGGCAAATAGGTGGGTAATAACCCGCCCATTAATGACCCATTTATCTTTAATAGAAACTATACTCACCCATTTATGGCCCATTTAACTAAATGAGTGGGTTTGAATGGTTCATTTGGCGGGTGGTATACTCACCCATTTATGGCCCATTTAACTAAATGAGTGGGTTTGAATGGTTCATTTGGCGGGTGGGTATGGGTGGACAATTGGTTTTGGGTCCATTTTGTGATCCCTAATCTGAACTACTGCCTTGCTGCTCTGAAACTATATCGTAATTGTTTACTGAGTGTCTGAGTTATGCATTATGAATTCATAAAATATGTGACCAATGGAGGGGACAAGTGAGGTGTCTCCCTCCTATTGGATAATGAGTTGGCCATCATTAATGATGACCAACTCATTATCCAATAGGAGGAAGACACCTCACTTGTCCCTTCTATTGGTCTCATATTTTGGGTCCTTGAGGAATTTTTCTTCATAAAATCGTCGTCAACAAACAGTGCAATGAATATGCTATCATTTACGTTTGGAATAAGTTCATAATTCTCTAATATAATAGACATAAAATTTCCATCTTGCCATGGTCCACCAAAACACTGCAGATGAGCGCATCTTTGAATTCCCATATCCAACGGTGTCCACGGGTAGCCGCCTCAGGCTTTGCAACACCCATTTCATGCTCGTGCTAGAATGCGATGTCGTAAGTTTTCCTACGGCAACGCTTTGAAATTCATTAGGTCACAACTTGTAGCCCTCTATATTGACCCAAACCTTGATGCCGGCGTCAACATGGAAAATTCCTTGGTGCGCTTAATTCTCTCTTAAAGCGTGTGTGTCTTTCGCTGAACAACCTCTATATAAACCTCACTTCTTCATCGTGCAAAACATCTCCAAGCGCATTCAATCAATACTCGAATTCTGTGGCACCAAAATGAGTTCCTACAATCAGCAACAAGCTCCCACTGCCGGTAATTTATTGCTCTTATTCTGTAACTTCTACGTTTACGTTTTTTTCTCTTCTTTGGTTAACTTGTTTTGATGGTGAGATTGTTTATATTGTTATATATGTAGAGACAAACTCGTACCCTCCGCAGGGACAGGCCTTTCCCGGTTACGTTGCACCTCCACCTCTAGGATATCCTGTTAAAGATGGGGCTGTAAGTTCCCAGCAGGTTCCAGTTCAGACCAAGAGCCGTGGCGATGATGATGATGGCTTTTTGAAAGGATGGTAAGGTTTTAGCACGAAAAATAAAAACTAGGATCTTAAAGATTGATACAGAGTCTATAAATTTTTGTAGACAGGATAAAAATTTCTCTAGATTTAAAAAATTGTTAATGTAGAACTGATATATATATAGTATTATATATATATATTATATATATATATGATATGATATAATATTAATATATAGAAGAGAGGAGAGAGAGAGAGAAACTTATGCTCAACATTAAAGTCGGACCATTCGCACGCAAACGTTTCTGATCCATTGATGAAAAAGTTTTCTTCATATGAATGCACGCGATCTCTAGGATTGTCAATGGATAGAAACTTCTGATTGATGTCCACTTAAATTGACATAAAGTCCTCTCTCTCTTCTCTCAATCTCTTCTCATTCTCATGCTCTCTCTCTCTCTATATATATATATGATTTAGTATATATATATATTATATATATATATTATATAATATATATATATATGATATTTATAATATATACATAATTCAACGTTAAAATATAAGAAAAAGATTTCGTGACTCGGAAGTACATTAAATAACTTCTTTGAACAAGGATATTAGTTTAAATAGGTTATAAATCAAGTCATAAAAATCTGCCAGGACAATGAAACCTCAATTACTGCATAATTTTGAGTATGTAATGCTTGCTTAAAATTCAATATAATGAGAAAGGGATGCGGTTTTAAACCTTTTCTTTTTCAAAAAAAATCCTGTTCCTAACTTAAGCGTCAAGTGCTATTGATGATGCTGGCTAATTGTTAAGTTATTTCTTAAGGTTCGGTAATATCAAATGCAATTGATAATTTTGGCTAATTGTCAAAGTTATTTCTGATGTTTCAGTTGTGCTGCCCTGTGTTGCTGCTGCGTCCTGGATACATGCTTTTGAGCAGGAGACCGTGACAAAGCTTTATTTATGCTGAATATTTATATTAGCATCGTAATGGGATTATACTTTTCTTCTGGTTCTGCTTGTACTATTGTATGAATTTTCAATTTGTAATGGAGTTTGCAATAAATTGATCATGTGTTCTCTATGGAGAATATTGTTGCTTAATTAAACGCCCCCTGTTATTGTTGAGAAGTCAATTTTATGAAGAAAAAAAGAAATTTAAAAAAAGAAAATAAAAAGGGACTACAAACTATACTCTAGCCAGTTTGTAAATAATTCACGGGAAGACTCTTAAGATGTAGCTCTCATGGACTTTGTGGCTTCTTTGAACAACGAAACTTCTAGAAATACAAGTGCGTCAGCTTTTGGCTACTCGTTGGACTCAAAACTTTGACGTGATTAACTACGAAACGGGATGTATTCGATAATTGCAATCAAGAAATATGGATGCGTGCAATGAATCAGGCTCGTGTTTATAACGAGAAAAGAAAAACGTGAATCTTCTTCAGATGATGAGGAGGAGGAATTTCCCGATCTCATAGTAGAATATAAAGAAGACATAATCAAGAAGAAGATGGCGCAGAGGCTATTGACGTGTGTGTTTAAATTTAATTCTGTTGTTTGAATACAAGGAAAAAAAAAAGTCAATGGGCTTTGAATTTAGTTATGTAAAATTTGTGTCGAGGTTTAATTATGGTTTCTATTAAAAGGAATAATATGCATAACCACCTCAACAATCTGAAGAGATTTGAGACAATTAATAAACAGACTGTGAATTAAATTTTGTAGAATTAAGTAAGCCAGACAAAAAAAAAAGCAGTTAGAGACTTGAAGAAAGACTCACCTGACGTATTGTTGTTTTACTATTGTTATTTTCATGGATGCTCTATACGCCTCCGATCACCATGTCCAAACGCAACAGCTGCTTTGTCCAGTATTTCATTCTTTATCTACAGCCTGCAGAGTTCAAATAGTTTTAAGGCACAGGAGGACCAGTGAAACAAAGCTCCCTCGGTACATATCATTATTCAAATAAGCACGATTTTTCTAAGTGCATAAATTTCCAATTATTACTATAAAATTATATGTTAAGAGTGCTCTGAGTACAAACTTGTGTCTGTTTTGAAATACATTATAGATAGGGTTTTCATATTTACATGTGTTTACATCATATTCACATACAGTACAATATACAGTGACATTAATCATAAACCGGGGATTGAGCTTCTTGGACAGCTGCACTGAGCTTGAGCTGGTATCATTCTTCATATTATCACCCACTAGCGGTAACACCTACAGCCCTAACTTCAACATGGTGCGCTCCTTCACTCCGAGGATGAACAACTACACTGGCCTGGGCCTCTGAATATGGCTGCTCCTTTCCAACAGTAACTAACAAACCACCAATAGTTGTTGGATTATCAGCTGGCTCGTTATTGACGGTGTCGTCAGTTTCCGGCGAGATGATCTCCCAATCTTCTTTCAGAGTGGTAACCTGCAACCCTTGCTCCACATACTTCTCTACCTCGAAGGCGGTAGGAAGAATGACATAATCATTTAGAGGATCGTAGAAGGGATCCGGTTCTCCGGCTTTGAGCCATTGCTTAAGTATTCTAAATACACGATGATCAGCGACGATTCCACGGTGATCGGCAGAAACACCTACCCTTGCAACTGCATCAAGTCCATCTGCCTGCAAGAATGGAACAGAGGGTTTGTAGTTTGATGATACTGAACCATTCAGTTTAGTGTTTTGATAACACTATCCATTTAAACCAACAATACAATTTACAACATACTAGTGCTACTGAAAAGAAACTATTATAGGCTGAGATCGATTTGGAAGGTCACAGGCTAACGGAAAAAAAATAAGACGGTGGTTCACCAGTTTCTTAACATTTGAGTATATAGAATATATGTGCAAAAGTAAGCGGCATTGGATGTTCAAGATCAAATTTTGGATAGTTGTCTGTTTCATAGGAATTGTTCTAAGTTGTAACCAATGATGAAATACAGATCTAGCTCAAGTGAACTACTGCGTTCTCTCATATCTATATCAACCTCCCAAGACAGTAATCATATAATACATGGGTGTTTTATCATTGTATTTAACCAGTTTACCTTTAGGCAGTCCATGCAATATTGATATATGAGGATGCAACAGTACAGTTTGACTGGAAACCCAAGTGAATGAGTAGAAGTGCCCAGAGCTACCAGAAATAGAACTGCCAATATGGAACTAATTTTGGATTTCAAGAATACATACCAAGGTAAATGTATCTAAGAAAGTTTTTACTTTCTACTGACTATTCATATGTGGATGCCCTCTCAAAAAAGAAAAAACACTGAAGAAGGTAAAATGAATCAACAGTGTTATGAAGTCAGCTCCTAAAGTATATACAAGATACAAGTAAAACAGGTACCCAGTCAAACAGATGCAAATACGAAAGTACAAAACAACGTGTAAAAAAGTGCGAAGTAAAAGGGTGTATGCTAAAATTGACCAAGCTTGAAGCTGTCCCATCACTCAATTATTAACAAAAACTAATTAGCTGGAAGAGAGCAAAAACATTAGAGTTGTCAAGTGATATAGCCATAAGTGTCTTCTAACCGGTAAACATTCTTACTAATGTATCCAAGAGAAGCAACAAAAAAAAAACATTGCCAGGGCTTTCTACCTACATATAACTCTCTGCACTTGTATTCTACATATCTTCTCATCTATGTCAACACAACTTCTTGATTTTTTTTCCCCAAAAGGGTTCTTTGCTTCAGTTTCATTTTACTGCGGTATAGAAGTTTGATTCACTAATCCCTCACAAGCAACTTGTTCTGTGACCACCTATTTTGATTATCAAGTGTCCTGGGATACTTGAGAATTGCGTAGTTATCTTGAAAATCTAGCTAGTTGCATATTTACTGTGTTAAAAAGAACGTATGTGCTACAGAAAATGTATAAATTAGGTCATTCAAAAGTAATCAGATTGAACAAGGGAACATACCTTGCCAGATTCTACTGGAACTGTCCCATCACCATTAACATATATGAACCTTGGAAAGGCGCAAAGCAGTTCTTTAACATCTGAAATAGGTGCTTCTTCACTACCATAGCTGGCAGTAAAAATGAGAAATTAGTGATTGAATTCTATTCAACATGGTTCACAATCCTCTACTATTTCATTCAAAGTCAAAATGACCAAATTGTAGCTTTGTGAAATAATCTTGGTATAAAAAAAATTTCATCCAAAGAAAACATTATATAGAATTAGCTAATAACATGATGATAGCCAGCACAGAGAAGATGGACATACCTAACACTATGGGGTGTGTCATAGTGAGTCCCATATATATTGTAAAAGTTAACTGTTGCTGGAACCTTAGCATTTGATAAGATGTTACGAGTGTCGTTAGCCCATTTCAAAATCTGTAAGTTCAATGGTAAGTGAATCTGCTTGCCATCAACCTCAACCTGGAAACAGATGTGAGGGCCGACAAGTCAAAACATATGCAGTCTGCGGATAAGTGAAAGTTTAAAGTAGGAACCAATAAATGTTGGGGCAAGAAAGCCACTGAAATGTGCAAAAAAGTTCATAACAGATGGAGATTTCCAGCAAACATGAAGCTGGCATACATTAAGCTGCATCAATATATATACCTAACCTAGTGCATACATACATACATACATATAGGGGGAGATGGGTAAGGCTTTTTGATAAAACCTACATGGAGAAATTCAACACCTTACCCACACTATTCATGTTGATTTATACATCATAAAACATATATAGACAAAAAAAGGTGTTATCCATCATGTAGAGGCTGCAAAATGAACAGTTGTTTAGTATAGAACAAAAGGAAACACTAGAAGACCGATACAAAAGTTTTCAAAAGGTCGGGAACAATAAAGCTTCGTGCTAGATAGGCGGACAGATAAACAGAGTAAGAGAAAACTTCCCTTTTATTAGGAAGAAATGGAAATTCTACTCATTTTCTAGCTGTTCAATAGTTATAACTTGCCAAATATAGGAGAAGTTAATGACTGGAAAATGGAGGAGTGAAGTAAATTCGGGTAAATTTGGCTACAGAAGTTGCCAACATAACCAAGTAGGAAGACTGAAAGTCATGCAAAAATTAAGTAGGTTAATTTCAAGGCTATTTCTTGTGTTAAACTTTCAATTTTGTTCCTTTTCTCCACCTATTATCCATCTACTTCTCTTTTATCTTCTTTTACTTCTTTGATCTTATATTTTGCATGCTTCTCTTTCTATGTTCATTGTCATAATCCGTAGGACTTTGGCAAACACCTATCATGCACGCATTTTGAACCGACATCCTTAGGACCTTATACTTCAGAAAAGGAATAAATCTTTACAAAATAAGTCATCTTAAAGACAGGTTTTGCCTAATGTATTATCTGTTAATAGTGATTTGATAAATATAAAGGGCTGATTGCCCTCCAACATAAAGAAATAGTTCATATCAGAGGGAAACTTATCAGAATGTTACCAACATGGAACGTAAAATGCAAGTTCCCTTTTGAACCGTTTTTTTTTCTATCATTCCCTTACTTTTGTTCATCTCATTGTATCAAACAATGAACAAAATTAAAATGGGGAACAAAGTATAATCCAAGAACCATCGGTGAAGCGAGGGGGGTCAAGAGGGGAATGTGCCCCTCCCTCTTCCCCTCAAAAAGAAAAAAGCCCCACCTCCTAATATGCTATGATGCATTGGTTTCCTACAGGAACCACTTGCAAATATTAGTTAGACCAAGCATATATTAATCATTTCTGTGTTTGTTGGTTGAAGCCTGAAGGCAATGGAAGTCGAAAAGATCCAATTTGATGTGGGGATCACATTCAAATGTTTTTTTTATTTACTAAGTATCCAAAGACATGTTTTCTAAAAATAAAGCATTCAAAGATTTGCTACATCGAACAGATCCATAGTGAAAGCTTGTGAGTGGTTTTTTGTAGCGGCTAAACTGAAGAAAAAGCAGGATTTCTCCTCTTTTAATATTTTGGCAAAAGAATATTCTATATAATACTTACTATAAGTCTTATTCTCATCTTTGTACCTAAATTTTAGATTATAGAATAAACAAAAATATGTGCATCATGGATTCATTGTCTATTTATTTAATAATACTAAATCTTTGTTCCTAATTTCTTCAATAACATTAAATCTTTTCTAGATTATTATGAGTAATAATCTGTGTTGTTTATACTTTGTTATGGGATGAATCAAATTTTTATACGAAAAAATCAAATTAAAAATCAAGTATGTGAGAAAATGTTATTCAAACCTCAGTCTGTCGAAGTCGTGCTAAATCTTCATTTAAACAATGACACACACTTAGAAAAAACGTACATCAGATTCTTTTTTTTATTTCATATATAATACTTGGTTAGGGTTTTCAAGTTTGACGCAATATATATTTTTAAAAAATTGTTTGATGACATTGAATGTGATTATTGATATAATTGTTTTAGTACATCACTGTTTTAGTACAACCACCCCAGCGCCCAAGCTCCGATTTCTAGCTACATCACTGTTAAGAACATAGTCCCTTAATGTATATGTCTATGTGACAACTAAGGTAAGAATTTTGAGGCATATCAACCATCATGGTGGGTAGAAATGAAGGAGAAATAAATGAGAAAGAACAACGTTTAAAAATAAACAAAAAAGAGGGCAAAAATATATTTTAAAATGGATGAATGGATTTCCAGCTGAACAAAGAGGGAGCTAAAATAATATGAATGTGAAAGAGTACAAGAAAGGAACAAACCAAAAACCAAGCAAAACAGGTTCATACTTCAGATAAATGCATTGTATACCAAGTCCAAATTTGGCGGATTAATCGTACTTGAATTAAAAAATATTGATCTTTGAAAAGTATTTTGAAGCGCGCTCAGAACCTAGCTTCGAAACATTTTGAAGGCTAATCACTTTGAAATGCAAAAAGGAAGTGGTTTTTCACTAGAAGCTCACGCCTCCAGCATAAGTGAAACGTGTATTTCCAGTCACATGAAGTGCTTCTCTTTGCAGCACATGCTCTATAGACACGACAAGAGGGTAAAAATTTTAATAAAAAAAGAGTTTTTAAACTACACTTAAAATGTCATCTCTTCATTTTCATTTCCCTAGTCTCACGGATTTCCGTCATTCTTTTATTGAAATTAAAAGAACAAAGCAATTATCTTATCTAACTTATCACAAATCTGCTTCCTTTATGTGCTTAGAGCTAACATTTCTTTCTTCTAGTTCGACTTGTTTTCCAACTATTTTGAATTTTTTGTTGATTTATTTCTTTTGTGTCTTTGGATGGATTTTACATTCATCTCTAGGATTTGATCTTTTATCTCTTTTGCGAGTTGTGCATACTTCCTTGTTCATTTCTAGCTTAATTTTTTTAATAAGAAACTATAATTTTCGCTCATTTGTTTTCAATACACCATGTGACTGTAAATAATGTATATGCCTTGTATAGCCTAGTTTTTTATGATTTGCATCTATACTTAGCATATTGCGTTCTTATTTTGTTGTCTTTGGTTTGAATGCAGCTATATGTAAATTATTATCCGACCATATATTATATGCTTATAATCTTTATAAATTTCAAAATTAAAACATAATTAATTATGCGGCTTATGCCTTGATGAAAGGGTTTGCGCTTCGTGTGCTTCAACCTATTTAATGTGCTTCCGCCTATTTAACATTGCCTTCTGACGATTGTGCTAAGTAAATAAGTCATTACCATTTGAACTCATCTATTCTATACTAATAAAATAGGATTGCTATGTTAAAACTTTTGATTGCCTCTTTTGCCCCTTTCAATTTTTGATAATTCACAATTATGTCCAGTATCAATCAAAATGATTAACTACTAACCATGTCTTTCGTCCCTTCAATTTTGATAATTTCCCATTAATGCCTATTATTGATTATCAAATGATTAAATGCTAATCCATATTAAATGAAAGAACTCGTTATCATCAAATGATTAAACTGAAAGTTAAAAATTAAATTAAACCACACATGGTATAATGAAAATTGAAATTAGTTAGATCAAAACTATACTCCAGTTGATTCTTAACTTTTATTCCAAACTTTATTTTACTCATACAACTGATTTAGAAATATGATCATTATCACATGATTAAATTAAAAATTAAAATTGAACTATACTTGATATAATTAATATAAAAATTATGTTAAAAACTATGACTCATAATCCAATTGATTCTAAACTTTTATACTCCAAAATTTATTTTACTCATAAAATTGATTATGAAATGTAAGATAATTGTGTCGGCGTGCAACACGCGTGCATCATACTAGTAGTTAGAAAGATGAGAGTGAAATCATTTCGTCCTAAAAGAAGAGTCATATATGGACCTGTACAAATTTAGACGTGTGCACTATAACTTCCCACCACTGAGAAATTCCAGCATTTGACTCACTTAGCTAAGAAACCATTGCAGATATGTACAAGTTCATTCTATGGCTGCAAAAGAGTTAAATATTTTGTACAGTACACATATCAAACCATATAACAAAGGCAGATGCATATAATCAAACATAATATATTGAAAGCTTTACAAACAAAGGAAAGTTATACTCACCATGTTGCCTGAAAGAGCTTCCTTCATTAAAGGTAAAGATTCAGTCAGCTGATATGACTCCAACAAAGTGCGAGAGCTTCCAGAACCATCATCATCATGTATCTCTCTCCACACTTGCACAAGTGGATGGCAATCCCAGGAGAAGTCAGGGTTGGCCATCAACTCATATATTGATGGACATTCAATCAGCTGCGTGAAAAAGAAAACACATAATATGGAAAAGTTTAATATTCTAGATGTAAGCATATTAGGAAATATGCATCAAGCATATAAAACATGCATCAAGCTGTATGGAAACAGCTTTTCAAAACTAAAATCTACATCTAAACAGCTAATAATACTACCGGATATCGCTAGTATGTGCCGTGTGCATGTACATGTGTGGGTGCATGGGTGTGTGTGTCTAAAGGAGGAAATTCACTTCCCTGTTTGCAGCTAGCATAGCATCTTCATTGCAGAAAACTTTGTTTGTTGATATGTAAGCAGGAAAAACAATAGCTGAGAAGGGAAAACTTACAAGTTGTTGCATGCTCCACTTGGAAATGAAAAAATTTTGTTCCCACCCATCAACAAAAGAGCATCCATTTAATAGAGCCGCTGTAATATATCCAGGTGCACCTGCCAATAGAAGACATATTAAACCGTTGCAAAGATCACTATGATGTCATTGTTTTATGGAATATAATAATGAATTCTTTAAAACTTAAAAGAGTGCATCAAAATCTTTTTTAATAATTTTATATGAGTTATCTGCCTTCCCAAAAAGAATGCAAAATACAAATTGATATGCCATGTACTTCTGTTGCCCATGTCCTAAGACTTCCAAAACTTTTGAACACGAATCAATTATACACTCCAAGACTTCCAAGTCAATAAACCATAAAATATTTTAAGGAAAAGATAACTCATCGCAGCTCACATCTTCAAGTTTTGGAATTATTCCACTTCATTAAATATCTTTCACTTCAATGAATAACTATCCTCCTAATAGAATGATGTGCATTCTGATGCTCTATAAAGGTTTCATCAGAAAGGTTCTGACACCAATTGTCGAAATACTTAAAAAGGATAATAGATATCCAAGATCCTCTAGCTCTTACCTTGAAATGGTGCAGCAATTGCAATCCAGTTTTTCACATATTTTTCAAAAATCTGTCAAATAACCAAAAAAATGTCAAATAAGAACACTCTGTACGCCAATAGGTACAAGCATACTAAAGTACCATGCATTAAAAACAGATATTCCTTGAACGAACTAGTTCATAAAAAGATTCTTACATCACTATGCAAAGACATGAAACATTTCACAAGCAGCCCTCCCATGGAGTGAGTTATAATATTTATCTTTCTGCCCCCTGATAAAGTGTATACTGACTCTAGCTTTGCAGAAAGTTTATCCAGAGTTTCTTGAAGCCTAAACAAGCATATGCATCAAATACATTAGAAAACTCTTTGAGCCGATTCTAGAATGCAATTGAGAAGAGCAGATGGGGAACTTTTCATAATTTAAATGATATGCATCCTACAAGAAGTCAAGAAATATGCCGATCACTCAGAATTCCATTAGAATCTTCTAAAGCCAATACATTCAATATGCACACATCACACATGCACTCGCACACACAGCAGTACAGCACACACGGAGAGTTGCGGTTGTGGTGATTCTGGAAAACAAATTGCAAAACACAAGCTAACACCTGCACTAGAGGAAACTGTGAAGAATACAATTTAGAGTTTGTGGTCAATTAGACATTTTTAAGTTGGGTTTTCTAGCTACTGTGTCATCTTGTGTAAGGGTTGTACTTATTGTAACTAAAGCCTCCTTTACTTAATACTCTTGAGTGCTATTAATATACTCAAGAAAGACCGGTACTTATGCTGTTTATACATAACCCGTGTGTCATTGACAATGTTTAAAACAAGTGGAAGCGCAAGGCGAAGCGTTAGACCCATTTATGAAGCGAGGCATAAGCCTCATGAGTTAAGTATACTTTACTTTTGAAATTTATTATTATACATAGTGGTATAATAATAACAAATAATACATTTAGGTGTTGATTACTAAATAAGAATTAAATATGCTAACTTCTTACTCTCTGGAAATATTTCAGAGGCATTTTACCTCCTTCAAGTGTGTCCAGACCAGTATGTCAGGGCTCAAAAACACCTCTACTTCTAAACAATTTTAAACTAAAATGTAACCTGTCTTGAGATATAAAGAAACAGTTTGCCTGAGTTTTAGATATAACTTCAAACTTTTAATACAGAGAGTAATGGAAAAACATATATTCAAATTTGTAAACTACAACAGAAATTCAAAAATATCCACCTGTTACTTTGGCGAAAGTCATATCCAAATCCAAAAAGCGTTTTTCCTTCTTGGAAACCCCATTTGATCATTTGAACTATTAATTCATGATAATAAAAGACGGCTTCTTGTCCTATTATCTGTAGAAGGCAAAGAAATAATGTCACAGTACAGCTTAATAGGAAAATGGACTACTCATGAGAAAGTCCTAGAATCAGCAAGCTGAGCCAAAGTAGAAAATAATAACAGCATCGCAATAGTAAATAGATAACATATCTTGGCAAGTCGAGAGATACTTCAAGATTTTGCCAAAATAAAAGGAATAAAAACTTTACAGAAACATCCAATGTAACTCTACATTGCAATAACACATCCAAAGGACGGTGGTCGTCAGTTATTATCTTTCTCATATATGCGAAGGATTTATCAATGAAATGGCCGCAGGGAGACCAAAAGTCCATATAATACACACAGAATGCAGAAATGGAGATGTTCTGGTTGACATGAAGGAAAAGAGATGACTTGCCAAATTACCGATGCCCACCACATTATTATCCCTATGAAATAACAAATATGGCGGCATCATTCTATCTCTTACGACAAAGTGCGAAAATGCTAAGATCCCTAAGTTACCAGAAAAGTTTTTCTAGATGTATCACTTTAAAGGATATCAAAAGGAGAGGTAATGGGCACTGGGTAATCAAGGCTTATTCCACATGAACATGATTCTTGAATAAATTCACAAACATTAAAACCTCCAAGCATAATACAAAGCAAAAGAAAACTGAAACATTTTTAATCTGGGCTGCATCCTGCAGATGAATGCACTAGCATATGATATACAGAGAAAGAGCAAAGATGACTACCATATCAGGATCCAATGTATCAATCGCATATAGACCATATCTGTCTTGAGGTACAACGATTGTCGTATTCTCATTCATGGATACTGTTTTACCTGATCAATTATATTCAGCAAATATCAATGAGTTTGCAAACTGAAAACTGAAAAGGTAGAGTAATTCACATAGGGAATATGCTCTTTTGTATTCAATAAATAAGACAAGTTAACAACTGAAAAGGCAAAGTAATTTACATGCAATAAGAAATCAGTGCGCTAGTGATGGGTTTTTAAAAACTACCATGGTCCGATTAGCCAATGGCATGCATGTATAATCTAAATGATCAATCATGTAAGTGCATAGTGTTTCTGTTCCATTTGTATTCAATTTCGAGACTGCAAAATAATTATATTTGAAACCACACAACATGAAAGTCATTGAATAACTCAATAATTTTCACCATATCGGTAAAATGAATTGCTGTGTAAGCAACCATCAATATTAACAGGGAACTTATTAAAAGTTCAAACGTAAGATTCCAAAACAGTTCCTGAAACTGCAGATATAAAAAAAAGCACGGTGATTGTGTTCGGAGTTTAGCAAGGCTGAACTGATTATGTATCCTGAACCCAACTTCAAGCAGGTACTTATCTTCAAAAGGTACCATCAGAAAAGTGACCCTTTTTTTAATAGTATCCAGGAGTAGCCATTCATAAACAGACAATATTTAGCAGCCCTACAAATGGAAGGTTGGCTTCATCATGTTCACTATATTTTATACACCTTATCCAAGAACATTATGATTAAAAATATCCTTTTCTAGTTGTTTTGTTCGCATTTGAATTACACCACTGGAAATATAAATAACAATATTTCCAAGCCCTAGCAGAAGTCTTCATGTTTAGAAAAAAATAAAGTGGAGTGTCCTACTTCATGGAACATAATCTTCTATATATCATATTTCCCAACAAAATTAAAGATTAAAAATAATAAATCATTGAGGATAGATTGATTTCTATTCTTTCTTAGGACCAAAGGGCTTTATGAAACCAAAACAGTGGTAATGAGATATGTTAAATAAACATACATTTGAGTATTTCACAAAAAAGCAGAAGTATCACCAATTAAGTCAAAGACGCAAGAATATCAGTTAGCAGATTTCCACTGGAATCTAATACAAGCTCTGGCTATGAGGAGTTTTACGACCTAATTTGGATGAAATACAAGGAACAGGGGCGGAGCCAAGAATTCATAATATTGGTGTCACAATATGTCAATATATATAAAAAGACGATATTCTTAATTTTTCTCTTATTTTCAATGTAATAAGGAACTCTAATGAGATACCAAAAATACATTTAACTAAGTACAATTACAATTGACCCCTATATGTCCTCATGCTTTGAAATCATTGTCTTATAGCCTTATTTGAAATACCACTAAATACATCATATTTCAATATAAGTTACTAATCTCTCGCTCACCCATTGATGAACCATACGATTTCACTAACAATCCTTTTCAATATGAGTTACTTAGTTGTTTATTTTTCTTTTTTGAAATGATGTTAAACATTCAATACATGGTTCTTGAGATTGGGCTATTAAGGATTGGCCTATTAGAGATAAATCTTAGACGGGTCACCACTCACTATTTCACTTTATGATAGTGCCCTTAATGGGTCATAAGCTAGTATATACTAGTTTAACTTTTTGCTAGAGGGATGTGTCACTTGACACCATTCTCTATTAGGTACTTCTCCCCCTGACAAGGATAGTGATTCAGAGTAAATGGAACTCCAACTGACTCATCAAACAAAGATGTGGCTATTTAATAGATAGACTTTAACAAAATCGAAAACTAGAAAAAAGAATTCATGGAGATTATAATCTGCTTGTTGCTAAGGATCCATGGCAAGGGCGGATCCATCAAAGGTGCAGTGGGAGCAAATGCCCCCACTGACCCTTTTACAAATATTAATAGGTATTCTGCAATTTGACCCCCCATTATTTGATCATTTGATTCTTAGCCCCTAACAGTATCCAAGAAAAACATCCAAATGGGTTAAAATGTGATCCATTTATCCAAAACTCTCTACCCAAAATCTAAAAATCAATCATTAATTCTGAAAGTCCTTCACTAAGTCCGATCCGCCAATGTCAAATCGCAAAAAGGGCAAACCATGCAAATCACGAGTTGCCTCCAATGGACCGGCCTCTTGTCGGACCGCCTCCTATTTTATCAAGTCATTGATAGACAATTTCTTAACAATCGGTTTCTTGAGTCAAATACCAGTTGCTTTTGATAAACAAGAAATTATTCAGCTTGCCAGTCTAGCTTTGAATCCTCTTTAGTGGAAATCATGGCACTTGATCAAGGTTGCATAGGTACGGGTACGGACACGGGTACGGGTACGGGTACGGGACACGGCAAATTTTACTATGTTTAATTTCAAATTGAGAAATAAGCTCACTCCTTAAACCCAAACCCAAACTCAAAACTAAATGGCCCACCCAATTATTTAAAACAATAAAAGTGTAAACCGGTCTTTTAACCCGAACCCAAATCCAAGCCCAAGCCCAACTTTTTAACTCAAAACCCATCCCTCTAACAAAAAGACCCTAATCCCCTTTCTCTTTGCTCCTATCCGCCGCCTCAGATCTAAGAGATCGGCTCCTCTCCTCTCCTCCTTCAGATCCGAGTCCAAGAAGATCGGTTCCTCTCTCCTCCATCAGATCCGAGTCCAAGGAGATCTAGGGCTAGGGTTTTCAATGTTCTCCCTCGAAGCTAAGCTTGTCGTTCACTCCTTCGAAGCTCGTCGTCCCTCGAATCTCGTCGTCGACTCTTCCCTCGAAGCTCGTTGTCGACTCCTCCCTCGAAGCTCGTTGTCGACTCCTCCCTCGAAGCTCGTTGTCGACTCCTCCCTCGAAGCTCGTCATCCCTTGAAGCTCGTTGTCCTTCGAAGATCGTCGTTTCCTCCCTCGACTGCCTTCCCTCTTCAGGTTCGTAACCTTTACCCCCCTCCCGCCTTCAAGCGCCGTGTCCCTGCCGTTTGGGTGCGGATCCGCACCCAAAACGTACCCGACACGGGTACGGGGCCAATTTGGCCGTGTCGGGGGAACATAGCACTTGATAGAGAACTTGAGAAATATTTATACATGGCAGCTACCCTCTGGTGTATCTTATTGTGAAGTTAGCTTTGACCTCATCACTTGCTGCTTGCTGCTGCAATCATAGAAAGAACTTTTTCTGCAATAAGCATAGTGAAGAATCAAATGCACAACCCCATGGGAGATGACTGGTTGAAATTTTGGTCGCTTACATTGAAAGAGATATCACCAATAACATAGACAATGAGAAAACCATACAACATTATCAAAATATGAAAACGCGGACAGAATAATTGTGAAGAATTTTACAGTACTTCTATTACTTATTTCTAATAACTATATTTTGTTTGTACATGTATATATGCTTCATTGCTTTTGATTTCATTAATATCTTATATTATTATAAAACTATGTTGGATGCTAAAACATTTTCTTCTGAGATTACCCTCCAAAGCATATACATGCACCCATTAAACACAAACATGCATACATAAAACACATACATGAATAGATAAACCATACCCCTTCAAATCTTTCTCATAACCTCCAATTAAACTAAATTAAATATAATAAATACCTCTCCAATTTGCATTCACTACCATTAGAAAATTAATTCAATTAAACTCCCTATCCCTCTAATTTCCCACTACTATAACCCCCATCTCTACTATTATTTGTTATTATTAAATATTAAGAAAGACTTGATTACTAAAACATGTAACTCCCAAAATTATTTGCAATGGAGAATATTTCTTTAACCCCTCTCTTAGTTCTCACAATATTGAAGAAATTCTCACACATAGAAGAAATGCTATCTTGTTATCTGTAGTCCTATTGTTGTTATGTCGTTTGTGGTCATGTTAAGCTTATGTTATCTTCGGCATAATTATCTGATAATTGCCATCAGGTAATATTTTTATTAAAATCTTGCCTTTCCATAGTTTATTTAGCTATTTGTATGAGCAAAGTTTGGTCTTTTATACTATCAATTGATGATTTCGATTACCATCTGGAGAGAGGTGTCTCATTTTGCTTGTGCTCCTTTTGCTTTGTAACTGAGCAATGATTTTCCTCTGACATGTTTCATGATTCTGAAAATTAACAAACCAAATAATTGATTTCTTTTATCACTTCAATAGGAGTTTATGAAAGAAACTACATGTCTATTGCTTAATCCTCTCCCTACAGAAATAAGAGATGTTTCAAGGTGAGCTCCAATATTGTGGTACTATTTAGGAATCATGGAAACACTCCTACAAGTATGTCTTTAATCACATCTAATTTTGTTACATGAAGACCATATTACATAAAATTGTATTGTTGAGGAAGCTATTTAAAATTACACTTTACAGCTTATTATGATATCCTTAACTTTAGCTTATGTTTTATCAGGTTAATTTACTTGATAGATGCAAACAAGAAATGTCTTCGGGAATCCAGAGAGAAAAAGGATCGTTTGAAATGAATCATTTGTATACTTGCTTTAGAGGTTTAAAATTAATTTTTAGAATTTAGATTATATTTTATGCATCCTCTTTTCAAAAAAATTTATTGAGAAAAAAATATTGCTGCTCGAATGGTGATGTTGTTGTAGATTTTTAAAATGATGTTGTTTTTACATGTCTTTACTTTTAATACTTTGATATTCCAAAAACACCTTTTAGCAAAACTCACTTGATTCTATAATCATCCTCTGTGTCAAGATGTGTATGCAATGCACTTGCTCCTCTTCAGGTGGAGCAGTCACTTGAGTAGCTTTATGTTTTTCTTTTGAGGTTAATTTCACAAACCCCATCTTTTGCACATAACCCCCCGTAACTTTTTAATCTCGCTTAACAACCTTGAACTTTGGAGTATCTCATAAAACTCATGTGAACTTTAAACTTTTTCTCAACAGAACCCCAAGACATATTGCAACATACTCTCCTCCCCTGATTTAGGGTGCTTTCATCTCAAGAAAATTTTAATTCTTTGCAAATTACAGTAAGGAGTTCTGCAAGAAAAAAAAATTTAAGTCCAGGTAGCTTTGAGAGACAACATCAAGTTCAGAGTGTTAATATGAGATTAAAAAAATCTGCATGGTTATGTGCAAAACCACTAATGTTCAGAGGGGTTTTCTGTAATTAACCTAACCCTTTTCTTTGTTGTGAACCTTGCATTTAAAAGATTCTCTACTCCATGTTATATCAATAGGTGATCAGTTTTAATATTCTATAACATACTTAATCTATGATGTTAACTGAATCTCTGAATATTTTTATTTTAATGAAACTTGATGAATTTAGTAATTCCAATGAAAATGATTCTATATCAATAGGCTATTGGTTTTAATTATCTACAACCTACTTAACCTAATATCTAACTAGATCTCTAAATATTTTTGAAGAAAAAAGCTATTTACTTGCACATTTTGTCTTTGTTATTTTAATATTACTTAATGAATTTAGTAAATCCAATTAAAATTATTTAACAGAGAAACTATAAAATAATGTATGAAGAGACTATTTCAGGAATTATAAGAGCACAATATTTGGATGATTTTCATGAACATAAAAAGAAACAAGGTTGTTTATATAGTAGAAACTTGGAAGGTCTTGCTAAAGTTTTCAAGTAAAATTTAATTTTGATGGTGTATGTACATCTTTGGATATAACTTATATCTGCCAAGGAAAGGAAGGATAGCTCAAAGAAAAAGGACACAATGAATTTGACTAATTGCAATTTCACTCATCCCCATTTCCATCATTACTAAGGAAACTATTCCTTAGCATGCAAATATCGTGAAAACACTTTCCTACTTCTGTTTGGTTGGATTTTAAAATTATTATATTCATATTTCCAACTAAACATGGAGAACCTCCAAATGCATGACATGTAAAAGAGGTAGCTTCCACCAAAGTTATTACAATTGGAGAAAATAAATGAGTGCAATATAGATAGAATAAAAGACATAGTGCAAAGGGAACACAATTGTGGATAACTAACATATACTACTACAGATATATTCTTTTCTCAGAGAAAAAAGATATTTAGTCATCTAACTTATCAGTTTCATATTGGTTAACAAAACACCCCTATGTACCTCGATTAAATCGTTCTGATATTTTATGATAATTACCCAAATAAACAAGATGATCAATAATTAACAGATAGTTTGTACATAATAAATAAATATATATACGTAACGACACATGTGCACCATACTAGTTTAGATAGAAAATAGCATCTACTAGTTATATTTGTAGACTTCTTACGCCCAGTGTCCAAAGTTTCTGAATCCGCCCCTATTCCATTGCAATTATAACTTCCTTGTCGTCAATGTTTTCGTTACATTTTAACAATATATTTACACAAGCAAGGCAGTAAAGTACTCCAAATCGGATATCACCAATCCTTGACTAAAACCGACTTAAAAGCATGTCGTTGATCATTTTTATTGTACAGATTTCCAGATATAACATTTTTACCGCTAAATTTGTACAAGTTATAGTCAATAAGAATGAAATCATGCAGAATTTAAAGCTTCTACTCCGATAATTGTAGTGTTTTCGCAGATTTCAGTACTCAATCCAGTTTAGAACATTATAATTTATAAGGAAAACCAAGACAAAATAATACCAGTAGCTGGATCAAACTTGGACCAGAGTTTGGTCCTGAACTCATGATCGGCTCCAAGGACCCGAACCCAAACCCTCTCCTCTCTTCCATCTTCATACTTAGCGTTCAGAATCGATCCAGCGATTCCAGGGACCAAAAGGACCGGATCGAGGTCTGGATCGATCCTCGGCTTGCTGTGTTTCTTGTTGAATCTCAGCAACAGCTCGATCGTTTTGATGAGATCTTCGATCAACACCGCCATGGTTGAGAGGGGGAGGAAGAAGAAACCCTAATCGTGAGGTGGAAGGGACGAGAGAGTTTAAATTGAGAAGAAAAGGGAAAGGGGGAAAAGGATAAGAGAGGTGGAGAGGGGGTTTAGTCTTGTTATTTTAGTCCTTACTTCATGAGGAAAAAGACGGGAGAGAGATTGCTTCGAGTACTTTACTAATGGGGCGTTGAATTTTTTATCCTTTTTATTTTTTAATGGAAGGGGGCGTTGAATTTACGCGTCCAATTTTGCTCAGAACTCAAAACAGACGAAAACAAAATCTTAGCGTAGATCCGGATCTTTGTTTGGGCCAGCCAAGAATTGGGACTCAGCCGAGATATTATGGGCCAAACTAAGGAGTCATGTAATTGGGCCTGAAGTTTTAGGTTGTTGATCAGGCGACTTTGAAATCCAATGAAATAAAACGGCTGCCTTATACTTTCATTCACAGAAATAAAAATAAAAATTTAGATCGTATTTCCTAAATGTTGACAAGAAAGCTGATTGACTTTACTCCAGTTTTCAAATATTATATGGAAAAGAATTCCATACTTGATTAGTTTCCTGGATGAGTGTTAAGTGTCAGCTCCTCTAAATTAGGAATGAATAGAATTCAAGCATCTATTACTCTATACAAATGGGAGGACCCAAGATTCACTATTCAAAAATATTGTAGCAGTTAAAACCGAGATTACTGTAGTAGGAAAAAGAATATGTCGTGCTTTGCACATTGTTCACACTAGTGATGACTAATAAGTGCTCACTTTAGAATAAAAAAAAAGTCTATGATTAAAATGACGGTATTATTATTTCTTTATTGGCAATGGAGAATACCCTAATCCTAAAATAAGGAACTAAAAAATCTAATTTTTTATAATATTGGGTAAGAATGTGGACTATAGATCTCTTTTTAGTGAAACTTAGGGTAAACTACTCGCATCTCATTAATAAAAAGTCAAGCAACGAGCTCGCTACGAATGTTATTGGAGCATTAGGAACGGTAATAATATCTCTATTTTCAATGATCGATGGATGTCGAACCAATCTTCTCTCATTCCAATTCCAACATCCTTCCCTCCCGATATCAGCACGGTGGCCGATCTCGTTGATAATGCATCCAACTCGTGGAACGTGAATCTTGTCTCTTATATCTTCGATCATGCTACAACAATAAACATTCTCCACGCTAAAATTGATCATCATCCATGTTCTGATATTTCCTCTATCGATTTTCTTGTCTGGAATGGAAACTTTAGCATTGCCTTCTCCTCCAAAGCCATTTATAGCCTTCTCTAGCTCAACAATCATCCATGTGAATGTTGAAAACATAACATACAAAGCAGCGAAATTTGCATATAATGTAGATTAAATCAAAAATAATTAAAGTTTAGAAGAATACCTGAAACGCTTTCCAAATTTCGTCTATAATTTGTCTCAAGATCAATACGAAAATAGCTTCCTCAAGAGAAAAAGTCTTCAACTAAAATCCACCCGTCACCGAAAAAGAGCAATACCAAGAGATAGGTTCTTAATTTTCTATTTCTTATTTTTTTTAATAAGGCTACATATGAACCCTATATATAGGATTGGACTTGCCTTATAGATTTTAATTTTAAAATAATTCTTAATTTTTAAAACTTTATCCATAACATTAAAGATGTAATATTCTTTTCATAACAATTAAGAGAATAGAAATAGAATTGTATTGCATGTAAACCTCTTCTAATGACATTAGTGAGACCAATTTGGTCCTATATCGAGAATCAATTATTAATCAAATTAATAATTTTAATTTAACAATCAAATTTCTATCCAACCAACTATTCATAAAAGCTCTTCCATAATATGGGATTAAATATTCATAAATAATATTATCTTATGTTCAGTCCCCTCCGGTATCGATTAATTTTAGGCAACTTTATTGAGTAGGAAAAATCACCTATTTGTTCATGCCTAAGATTGTAATCCCCGTGAACATAAATAAAAATTATTTTGAAAGATCAAAATATTTTATTTTATAAGAACATAAATTTTGAGAAAAAAAATTTCAAAACGACCCTTTGACAGGAATTTAATATCTTCATGGGATACGCATAATAAATTAGCTCATCAAAATAAGTATACTGAATCCTATCTAGATATTCATTATTTTCCTAAATAAAATATAGTAACCCAACATTTTAGGTTTTATAACACTTGTAAAACAAGTTTAACCATCATATAAAAGTATATTAAATTATCAAATCGAAAATGACAATATCATCAAGTCTAAGGGACCACATTACAATTCAAATTCTCCATCTATTGGATGATTTCCAAATGTGGTCTTGTGCTACACATATCATAATATGCGCTTATGATATACATCCGGGCAATTTTCACTCCCGGAAGGTGAGATCAACCACCACATCTGACGTGTTACTGTCATGCATAATAACATGTTATAACAAAGCTATCATTTACCTATCATAGGTTAAGCACAAAATTAAGAAAACTTTGAATTAGATCATATCTCCAAGCAAGTGACCATCACAGTGCATGATCTAATAAAACAATTTCTAAAGATAAGACAACAATTATATAACAGATACCCAAATAATATGTGCAACAATAAAACTTAATTAATATTTAAAAATATTACATAAAAATATATTGGATGTGTAAGGGCATATAACACTATTCTAGCAATGAAAACCTCCCAATCCCTTGCAGCCAAGATTGCTATGAAAATCCTTTCAATTAAGTCATTCCTCAACGAGTCAAACTGTTCATTTGGAGAGCCTTAAACCGGGGCCTTCCTTCAAAGGATATTCGGATCACACATGGTATGTCTTTAGACCCTCTCTATAGTCTTCGAGGATTGGTAAACGAGACTTTGGAGCATTTATTTACTGATTGTGCATACACTCATTCTATTTGGATGTATGTGAATTATGATATTCCCCCGTCTTCTCTGGCTTCTTGGTTTGGCTCATGGATGGAACCTCCATTCAACGCCCCTATTCAAAACCTCCTTGTGATAGCCTTCGCATTCATCATCTCTTGGTTCATTTAGAAATGAAAATTGTCTCAATGACCCAAAATATGAGACCAATAGGGGGGCAGGTGAGGTGTCCCCCCTCCTAATATTACATAATGAGCTGACCATTATTAATAATGACCAGCTCATTATGCAATAGGAGGGGGATACCTCACATGTCCCCCCCTGTTGGTCTCATATGTTGGGTCTCTGTAGCAAAGCTCTTTAGAAATCTAGATGCATCGCTATTTTTAAAAGCAAGAAATTGATCCCACTTGCCACTCTCACTCTTGTTGAGGTCAATATGCAGCTACATTTCTCTGGTTTGACCACTTCAGGTTCTCTATTCAATATTAGTTCACCTCATTTGTTGTCTGCACCTCCCACAAGGATTGTGAAAAATTAATGTAAATACCACGTCTAACTATGAGTGCTCTACTATTGGAGTCATTGCTCGCGACCATCTTGCCTAACACCTAATCTCTTACTGCTTTCTTGGTCCTCCACCGTTGCCCCATGAGTGTGAACTTTATGCCTTCCTTATTGGTCTACGCTTGGATATCTCGATGGATTGGAAAGATGTGATATTGAAATCTGATTGCCTTGAAGTTGGCCCTATGTTGCACTGTGCCATTGTGCACCTGCAACATATCTCGCGTACCTTTGGTATTTGTTGGTCTCTTTTCAAGGGCTCCAACTCCTCCTTCGTAAGCCACTTTTGTTGTTCAGGTTATAATTTTGCGCACAATCTTGTCCAATATGCTTGCATATATAAATGTTCCTCTTTTTCAGACTCATTTGATGGTCCATACTATATTTGGAATTAAATTCTATTTGAAGCCGTGTAATAGAATGTTTTGATTCCTAAAAAAATAAAAGTAATAAAAAAAACTCTATTCACTTTATGGTGGGGACGGTAATTTGTCATGAGCACTCTAATGAAAATTGTTGATCTTAATAACCAAACAGATAATATAATTGGAGTGAGGTTGATTAGGGGGCCGCTAACTTCTCCGGATATCTGGTTTTGAGTTGAGTATCTTAAGCCTGCACAAATACCAATTCGTGAGAGGACATGGACTAGTTCCCCCGTTGTTCCTCCGACGATCAAGTCAGTTGATGGACTTGAGTGGGAAAATGATGAATTGTGTGAGTTTTATAGTGTAGTGCCATAGAATTTTTAGACATTGCTTACTTAGAAAATTCCCCCTTTCTTCTCTAGAAAATTAGAATAGCATCTCTATTTATAGTGGTGGAAAAATAATAGAATGGTAATCTCGGCCGAGCACAGGATGGCAACAAAACGAGTATGGCCTGGCAGCTACGTCAGCACCTACTTTACAGGTGTCGGACGATGAGTGGAGGATAGATCACCTCAGCATTTAATGTGAAGTGATTGGGGGCATTGTGGTACCGATGTGGTTCGATAAGTCATGAAGACTATCAGACCTAGAGGTATAATGACGTCTGCCAAGCATTTAATGTAACATAGACGAGTTGTCAGCGGGAGAGGTTCGAGGTTCAAATCGACCTCATGAGGCGTTGAATAACTGGTCGAGTGGGCTTGTAGTGAGTCGTCTTTGATAAGAGAATCGACAAGTACCGCCCTTCAAGTCAACCTAAGGAGATGTCGACTCGGCGAGCTAGAGCAGTGGACGGCACTATCGCTGCCTCCGTCGTTCCTAAAATCAGGGTTGAAGCCCTCTCCTAGTCCTTGACGGAGGGAGGCACGACAAATACATTGGCAACCCACAAGACCAAGTTGTCAAGTATGTGCTCGACTCGGCGAGAGCTAGCATACGCCTTGATCTGATCCAGTGCATCCCTCTCGGTGTTAAGGAGATCACCAGCCATCAGTGCATCCCTCCTTATCTTAGGTCAGTTCGAGCAACCTAGCTCCAAGTCATCCCCCATGACCCAGACGAACTTCTCCTTTCAGTCCTTGTTCAAGTCAGGAAGGCCGATGATGACCTTGTACTTTCCCACCATCTAAAAATGAAAGTGGGGCTTAGTCTGGTTCACTTTCACACTCACCAGATGGCCCAAGACTCACAAAGATGGTTTTATTGCTAACCAATGACAAATCATCACGAACCCCACCAAGGTTGTGATGGTGTTTGGCTTCATTTGGGTCGGCGATACCCCTAGAG